TATCACATCGCATATTACTCACTATACGTGCTATATTTATTTGGGCGTTTTGATTCATTTGGCTTAAAAATAACACTAACCTTTGTAAAATCCATCAAAAAAAAAAAAATTTCAAAATAAAACCAAACAATTGCACTTTATGTCAATTGAATCCGCATAAATTTTAGCCACACTTTATTCGATTCAATGAAATTACTTTGGCGTCGAGGCACTAGGAAAGATTTATCAGGATTAAAACCCTGTGTTGGCTGAAACCGCAGCAGCCGCAAAAACAATCAATACGCACGATCAATGTCACAATTATTTGCTTCTCTTTTTATGCGGTTTGAATTTTTATACTTTGGCGGCTTTTTCACAAAAGTTCAAATGAAGCGAAATCGGTCTGCTGTTGGACGCGTGTGAGTTGCAAATGAAAGTGAAATTGTGGTGAGATTACATTTTCATGTAACTTCAAATGAAGTATTTTGCGCACCGCAGCATCAGCAACAGCAACAGCATCAGCAACAGCACCAGCAACAGCACCAGCGTGAGCAGTAGAGGCAATTGTAGTTCACGTTTAACACAGCACCAAAATCAACAAGTCACTGTTAAGCTAATGTTAACTTAACAGCTGCTGAATACAGCGCTCTTTACTGCTGCAAATCTCGCTGCTACGATTAACGATAATAATGTTTATAGTAATGACGATCTATCTTGTGGGCAGCAGAATTTAACACTTGTACAGTTGCCCGCTTTAAAGCTAATTAATGTACATTTGCTGTTATATTTGATAATAAACGAATATACTTTTTAATCCTTTTTAAACTGATTTCCACAAGTTTTCCACTATTTTTCAGCAATTTTCAATTTATTATTCGCGTTGCATGTTACATTTGCTGTAGCGAAATGAACCGCGTCCAATGTGCTTAGTGATATGATACAAACTGCAATGCATAAACGTTTTTAATGTCTATTATAAATTAGGTGCATTCAGATACAGAGACAATGGTACCGGTTGTGATTACCTTAACATTGCCATTGAAAAACTGTAGGAGTGCACATTAAAAATACTTCGTCAACATTTGAAACTGGCCGAACTGCAGCCAATCTTGATGTTGCTTAGCGCATTTATGCTGCGCTTAACTTGCGCAATAACTGGTGCGCCTTTTTTAGTGCCACAAGTCAGCACTTTGTTGTCAAACTTATTCATTTATTCGGTGTTTAGTTAGTCGTGTTTGTATCTTGCATGACATTTTTTTTTGTCTATGCCATGAGCAAGCAAACCAAGTTGCAAGTTGCGATTTTGTTTAGTTACTGCAAACATCGGTTTTGAGTTAGCTTAAGCAATGACCTTAGCTTCAAATGTTGCGTGAAGTAGTGGGAAAATGGTTAACTGGTTTTTACTGAATTTCTTCTTTACGAGGGAAAAGACACACAAAGAAAAGAAAATTTTAATCAATGACATTTGCAATATCCGCCGCAATATTGAATATTTTTTACGAAATACAACAATAGGATTTATAAATAAATATATATTTTATTATAAAAATAAAGAAGACACATAATGAGTAAAATAAATAACCAAAAGCAATAATGTCAGTATAAATATATAATAAATATTATTTTTTAATCAAAAAATTGAGTAAGTGTATACATAGGTGTATATTCACATTACCACACGGAGCTTGTGGTCGCTCAATTATATATTTTATATTCCAACTAAATTACATACTTACTTACTTAGGTGGCCATTATATATGTGAGTCGTCCTTTGCTGCGTCGAGTAGCCTCCGCCAGTCAGCCCGATTAGTTGCTTTCTGACGCTAGTTGGTAGTACCGAACGCCCTCAAATCGTTGTTCACTTGATCCTTCCTTTGAAGATGCTGACGTCCTTTACCGCGTTTTCTACCTGCGGGTACCAAATCAAATACCTTTTTAGCCGGAGCACTTTCTTCCATTCGCACGACATGACCAAGCCAGCGTAGCCCATGAATTTTTATGCGCTTAACTATGTCAATGTTGCGGTATAGCTCATACAGCTCCTCGTTCCATCTAAGTCAATACTTGTCATCAACGCGTAAGGGACTACAGATCTTCCGAAGATTTTTTTCTGTCGATTGCTCCTAACGCCTTCTCATCACTGTTGGTAATTGTTCAGGCTTCTGCGCCATACAACAGGACAGGCATGATAAGGGATTTGTAGAGCGTGATTTTTGTTTATCGAGTGAGGGCTTTATTTCTCAATTGCCTACTTAGCCCAAAGTAACATCTGTTAGCAAGAGTGATTCTTCGTTGAATCTCTAGGCTCTAAATAAATACTTTTCTAAATAAGTAAAAAAAAAGTCAAGTACGGCTTTGGATCAGTTGGTTAAGGTGCGCTGATTCTGAGCTTCACATTTGGCAGGACCCGACTTCGATTTCTGGTACTTGCGTTCTCAAAAATAATTATTAACGAATAATTAAATACAATAATTATTTCCAAGACCACTGATGATGGGTATTTGGCAATACCCGAAACAGCTGTATGGTCAGCCAAAAATTCAATCAATTAAAATAATAAAATTTTTTTGTTGTATTTCTACTATTGTATTACTACTATTCGAAAAAACCTCTTTATAAATAATTTATGGAATTATTTAATAAAGATGGCGCAGTGAGTTTATACTCCGCAAAGCTAAAGAGTTAATATTATTTTAAATACTATTCCAAAAGTGTAATTTTGTAGTGCCATCTTATCTTTTCTAATTAAAATTTTATATGTAATTGATTGTCATAAAAAAGGATATAAATATGTATTATCCATTTTGCAGGTGGTAACTCTCTAACCTTCAATTTTGCAATATTTTGTAGTGAAAGCCCTAGTGCATGTTTTTTTATAAATTGTTTAGCATTTGCCTTCGATTTATTGATAAAATTGTACGTCACCTGAGGCATCTTTTAAGGTTTTGTAAATTTTTTGATTAACTTGCACATTACGCTTATCTATAAAATTCCACCTCAATTCGAGCTGCATGAGTTGCATTCAAACGCCATGCACAACTGCAAGTGCAATTAATACGTGAAACGATTAGTACATAAATTTTATATTTTAT